CGATCCTCGAGCTGTGTGTTTTTCAGATGCCCGCTACAGAACTGCGCGTGGCTTCAACTACTCACTGCAAAGAAGTTTCTCTGGTCCTTAGGATGCGCGGAGGCTGCAGCCTCGTGCAGCGACTCGAAGCCCCCGTTCGGGGTGTCAGGCCCCCAGCTATCGATGCAAAAAAATGGCCTGCCACCCATGAGCAGCTGATTGTAGATGGCCTGGGGCATCGATGTTCCTCTACTTCAGAACTCGAAGAATTTGGCAAACCACTTCAGGGCCTTCTGAACCCCTCAGCAGCACCAATCAACATCTAATAACATCTAAAATCTGCTCTTCCAAACGACTAAACACAGGGGGAGCGCACTAGGTGCCAAATTCGAAGTGGCACGAAGCCGAAAAGGAACAAAAGCAATCACATCTCCAAAATGAGTGTGGCTACTAGTAAGGCACTTGCTCCTAGAAGCGAGGCACTTGTTACTAGAAGCGATGCACTTGTTCCTAGTAGCTTCTTGTTACTACTAGTAAGGCACTTGTTCCTAGTTTTTATCTTTTGCTTGTTCGGTCTTCAGGGCATTCGTCATCAATCAAGAACTATCTTACAGGCATGTCCGCCGTCTCTGCACCGAATGTGTCTGAGTGATACCTTCTGAGCAGCACGTGGATCTCATACGGAATAAGCCCAGTTATCCTCGGTAATCACGACCACAAATAGAAGGACTGGTCCATCGTCTATATGTCCTCTCACACGGGGCAATAGATAGATTGGACAACTGAAAAGCGCATATATATATATATACAATTATATGCATACGTAATCACGATTTCTTATGACACGTGTGTTTAAGTCTTCCAATTGTTCAAATCTGTGGTTCAGAAGGGAGCCGAGAGTTGGTGTCCCACAGAACCTGCGGCTCCAAATGAGGGTTTGGTCTTCCATAGTCAGGACTGGTTAACTGATGTTAACTGGTTGAAAGGCGGTCTCTCCTCTTCTTTTGGCGAAGGAGTATTGTATGTATCAAGGCCGTATGAGTCTGGAGAAGCATTAGATATTTCATCGTTTTGGTGTTTGTGTTTTTGATGCTGCTTTTTTTCATGTGATGTCAGTGCTGTGGATACGTATGTTGGACGCTATTGGTGCGCTTGGGGTGTGGTGACTACTAACGGTCGTTGTGAACATGTGGTTCCCGCGGATTGAATGGCTTCACGTTCGTACTCGGTCGCCATGTCCTCGAGAAAGAACACACATGTATGGAAAGAAAGACACTTGTTTTGGGAGCACCAATGGTGCAAACATTTACGGCCAGTTATCTGAGCAACCAACCTTGTTTCAGTCCAGTCTGAGAGCATCAAACGTCGTCTGATGGTCACATATTGACATTAAAACCCCAACACTTGTCCACCTTACATGCAAATATCTGAGGAGATGACATCAAACCTTGTGGGCTACTAAGCTGTTGTGATTGTGCAGGCCTCTCTTTGCCTGGCATAGGTGATGTCATCCACTCCTGCCTGGCATCGCCGCCCTTTCAGCCAGTGGAGATTGGGCAGGTGACCAGAAAGCCAACAAACCCACAAAGGGTGGTCAACCCTTTAACAGCCAAGGTGATAAGAAAAGGAGGTTGATGGACACCATAATATGTCGTAGGGTCGCCTAGCATATGCTGAAATAGCCTAGCAATGTCGTTCTAAGCTGCACTACTATGGGGCCAGGTGCCTAGGCAAATGAACACGTTCACCCGGTTCACCCTGAACAAGTAACAATTTGACAGATATGACATGACATGAAATGTGGTGGGCCTCTTTGTTGGGGAAACTGGAAATCCTGGTCAAATAACACTTTGCAGTGAGGGTTCTATTCGTTTCTGATACCCATGATACCAACCTCCGTCAACTTCTCAACCGCTACAACTCGCAGCTGGGATCTAACCCCTTGAGGGGTCGTTGCACCTACCACACCCAAAACAAATCTCCTGGCCTTGGGCCCGAGGTTGGAAATTGAACGGAAAAATACAAAAAACGCATTTGATTAATGTATAAGATATATAGTTGGTTGTCTCTGCCCAGTTCTCCCCATTTAGAGCCTTTTTGTTGATCGTCCTTTGGGGTGGAAAACATCTATTTCACAGTCAGCCGGTCTTCTTTTCACACCCAGCCTCAGCCGCTGCTTTCTCTTGTGCGGCAAGGACTTCCTTGTGCGAACTCACTCCGAGACGTCCCAGCCCCGCTGATGAGATCTCAGCGAGGGTCCCCGGTTGGTCACGACGCTCAGCAGATTCAAGAGATAGAGGGATGGTCTTTGAATCAATGGATCTGCGATGCTCGAAATACAATCGGCATTTCAGGATGGTCAACAAGAACACATACTGTGTGCGGAATTAGTGCCCAAGGTGGTGGGACCTAAAGTGGTGGGACACTCAATGAAGGAAAAAATAACTGTTAAAGACAATCCGGGATGGATCCTCAAAATCTCGTCAACACCGCATGGTGGATCCTCGAAAGCAATAAGCAATTACATACATTAATCATATTATATAGTTTTTGTATAGTTGGTACCGCTTTCTGCACGGCCAGTGTGAATCTTCTGCAAATCGTGGCAACACGGCCAGATCGATGTCGGAAACCATTGGCTCCATGTCCTCGGTGCTCCTATAGGCCTGCCTTTTTTGGCTCTTGTACTGGAGCCCCATACAGCTCTTCCTGCATGCGCTTCAAGAACTATGACGAGCTCAGATTTGCAAGTTGAGTGGGCAGCTGGAGGCATCTTCTGTCTGGCAACAGTGCCGCGTGAAAGGCAAGTGCTGTCAGGTCGGCACCTTGAAACGCCATGCGCACCACCTGACACGTCTCGTGACTCTCGTGGCGTGGCCCGGACCATGAGCGGTCCGTCCGTGCACCGGCTCTGCGGGAACTGGGCTTGGAACCCAAGATCCCCGTCTGCCAAACAATTCTTCCTGAAACACAAAGACATGTGGTTTGTATGTGATCTGTATACAACTTTTCTGACATGCCATGTCTGATCAAGGCGCAGGGCCAAATCATTGCTGTATGTTGTATGGTTTGGGTACGGTGTCGAGACGACTAAACCAATTGAACTCGTATTTTAGACTACCTCCGGAAGGTTCTCGCCGGCCCGCCCGATACAACGGAGCAAACATACAGAGTACAGCAAATATAGTGTGGAGACTGAGCTGTGTGGAGCAAATATACGGTGGTGTGCTTGGTGGTGTGCTTGGTGGTGTGGCTCCCGGCCCCCCACCAACGGTTTTTGGGGGTCACGTGCACGTGGACGAACCTTTATCTGGCGTACGTGCAATGCGCTCGGACTCGGCGGAACGGGGTCTCCTTGGTTGGGGCTCCACGGAACCCTTCGTCTCGGTGGCAGGCCCACCGGAATTGGCTCAATCCTTTGCTCCTTGGGGAGTATTCTCAGGGAGTGGCTCCGCAACCGAGAATTTCATGGGGCTACTCTTCAGAGGGATGGAACGGGTCTACCTCCGGGGCCGATTGCTCTGGCAGGGCCACCAGAGAATATTCAAAAAATGCGCTACCGTATGTTGCAGCTTTCTCCACTTGTTCGCCACTTTGGATCCCGCCATTGAAAACAAGTATTGGAAGCCCGGCTCCTCCAGCGATCAGCAGTTCCTCTCCAGTGACGTTCCCAGTGACGTATACGGAACTCGGGTGGTGGAATAGTTTTTGATCCACAAATCCCCCACCGAGCTGCCATCAAAGAGGCGCCTGAGAGCGAGTTGCAAAAACAGCAATGGGGTTTGCAAAATCACCTCTTCAAATCCCTTTGACATGCAGCGACCCTGATTTTGCCATCAAAACCATGCTCTGGCCACTGCCATGGGAACCCTTGTTGGGGGAGGGCACCGAAGCAACTAATAGTATCAGGGCCCCTGCCACGTCCACGAGCAACTAATAGTATCTATGTTCCGGTTCCTTGACCATATAAGGTAATGATGTCCAACATCCACTTAAATCAGCACCCACTGGGGGTGATGGAGGAGGAACCTCTTGAATCGGGAACGATGGAATACAATACGAATCAAATCTAATTAAGGAAAAATGGTGGAAGCTTCCAACACTGATCCTCACAACACACAAAGACACACAAATCAACTAGTGGTACGTAGAAACAGCAAGAGCCAGTGCTGTCAGTGCTCTCAGGAACCCCACTGTTACCATCAAAGCAGCATGGCATTATACGCAGGATACCGATACCGAAGGTTTGGGCTCGCCAGCACAAACATGCCCCATTTGGGAGTCGTTTTTGGATGCCGTAGCAAAAGGCTCAAGAGCCCACAAGGTGGTTAAGATTGAGATGGATCAGCAATAGATCTTTCTCTATAACCTCTTGTAGAATTGAATACTCTAGACTACTGGCCCTCCGGAACTCCAGGGCACCGGGCCAGCTGTTCCTGCCGATGTCTCGGGCATCAAACGGGTCTTGGAACTGTCCTGCATCGTGAGGTTGTGAGGTCAAGGGCCAGTCAAGGGATCACTCCAGCATATCGACTAATACCTAATCATGCATCAACAAGCCGCGGTGCATCATGCGAAAGGGATAGTGAACCCGAGGTCTCCTCTATATGATAAAACATAGGATTTACTTATTCGACCTGGTACGGGTCATATCAGGCAAAAGATTGCACAAAATAAGTATTGAAGTATTAGCCTGCCTTGGAACTTGCGGCATTTTTGGCTAGCTTTAGCTTGCCATGTGTGCAAGTGCATGCCCCTCGGTCTGTGAATCTATATTACTGGTATTAATGACAATGAGGACAGCCCAAAATAGGGACTTCTGCGGTGGTATTCTAGGGTCGGATACCTAAGGCCGCACTGGATGATAAAGGGGTTCAGGGCTGAGGGCCATGCAAGTCAAGCAAGCTGAACCTGTCAGTCTCAAATGTTGCATAGTTCAAAAATGTAAATCCCCAATCCCCGGCACATGTTGAATGCGCGTGTCTTCCATGAAATTCCCCATTGTTTGCCAGTTCCGGAACTCATTTCAATCTGTTTGGAGATCCCTTGTCGATCTTCACCTCGAAAACCCAGCTCCACCAGGCGCAAACGCAACGGTGCTCTTCTTTGTTTCGCAGTACCGGTACTCTTCGTGGACGTGGCAAGTGCGCCACCTCGAAAAACTCTGCAAGCAAATGCTAGGTATACCTACAATTACCTACAGAGCTTGAAACTCACTCTTGGTAGGTACTTGAACTGAGAAGACCGAAAATACCGCTCGACCGCTGGGGGCAGTTCAACGACAACAAATGCTAGAAGCCTAGTCTCCAAAGGTATAATGGTTGAATCCATTTTTCTCAACTGACTCGTTGGTAGTTTGGATCGTTGCAAAGTGTTGGTCATTGCTTAGGTCTGATCGGTGCATCGACAGCGATGCTCCAAAGCATCTCGGGTCGCCGGAGGATTTATTGAGGCGGGTCGCCGGGACGCCATAGAGGTCGACTGGGTCGGTGGGTCGTGGCGGGAGAAGGGTTGGAATAGGCCTACGAAGTACATCTAAGTACCATATCTGTGCCTTGTACTAATCTCACCCTCGAAGAGCAGTTACATTGCTCTTCTGAAGATCAAAGGGTTAGTCACTTAGTAATTGTTGGTGGAGATTGGGGGGATACAGCCTTCGTCATTTTGGGAGGACCCAAAATGGCACGTTCCCGAGTGATGAAGGCCCAAACCACCTGAGAGGATGAGCAATGGGCCTCTACAGAAAAGAAAAGAATGTGTTGTATACCATGGTATTTCCGGCTGGGTCCCTGGTCTTTGCCTTTTGTTTCAGTTATGCTCATTTCTTCACAAGGGAGCGATCTCCATCTTCGCATCCCATGTCGGACGATTGACCCAGACCCACATGGCCGCATCTCGCCACTGGACGCGCCTTGGCACGAAGAGCCAGCAGCACTGCCAGGTAGGGCGAGCAATCTTTGGGGTCCTTGCAGGGTCCGCAGAACTGCAAACCCACTCAGTGACACATGGAGACAGTCATGGAGTTGTTCTGGAACGATGACCGACCAAAGAATTCCAGTTGACCAAAATTGAAATTGTCCTGTGAATTGCTTTCCACTTCCCACAGACTACATTGATGCCGACGAAGTCTTGAACGCCCTTCCAAGGGCAACACGGATGGACTACACCACCAGGACCCACAGCAATAATGGTAGAAACCCACGTGAATGCAATAACAATAACAATCACTTCTTTTCGCAGGAAAAAAAGAAACTCCTGCTGGCATACTCCAACAAACCAAGTGATTGCAGCGTGGTCCTGGGGTCCCTGGAAGTTGCTGGGTGAACCACCGTGTTTTCTTTTCGCAAACGAAACGCGTGGCGATTTGTGTCTCTTGATGGAAAAGAAAGTTGAGATTAACCAGTATCCCATGGAATTGCAGAATTCGGATTAAAGTCCTGCCGTGAGCTACACGCGATACCCAAACATACGCAAACATACTAGCCACCACCCCATCCTCACTACCCCTGAAACACGCATGAAATCACCAACAGCTGGACTTCACCAACAGATTCACCTCCACCCACCCTGCCCTGTTTCGACGCCCGGCACCTGTTCCAACGCGAAGTAGTCGAACCAGCAGCGCAGCTCTTGCGCCTTCGCCTGCATGGCCAAGACCTTCGGGCGCTCAAAGTCCCAAAGGCCTAAGGGTGAAGTCTTCAGAAAACAGTGATGGGAGCAGATAGGGATGCGAAGGATTGGTATGGATTTGTAAAATTCTCGAATGCACAAGCTCACAAAGGTAGGACATGAACCGGAAACTGCGGGCCGTGAGACATGCCATCGCAAAGCATCTGCCATGTGATGCTTAATCGATTTGGATGTCTTGTCTCTAGCCACACCGAGCCTCAGCAAGTGTAAAAGGGTCTCACAGACCAAAACTCTAATTCCCAAAAGGATTTTTAGTCTTGTCACCCCAGAGTCGGGCCGTACAATGAGCGGGCTGAACCGGTCTCATGTGCGGTCTGCACCAGTGCGTTGAAGAACATGCGCCGATGATTCGCCGATGGGAAGAGCTTTCGGGGACCAGGCTGTTCAATAGGTGGCTGGTGGGAACGGAAAATTCAAGTAATTACCTACTGTCTGGAGAATCAGCATCAAACACCTGCAAACATGCAACAAAAACGGCATCCCTCTAGCTATATGGTTTCGAAAACAGGAAGTAGGGATTTGACACACAAAACACTGACACACACACACACACAACCCAGCGCCAGCGCGCCTGCGTGCCCCAGCCCAGACCAACAGCGCATCCCCCCAACAGTCCAAGGAACCCTTTAAGTAGTTGTAGAGACTCAGGTCCTTGAGCGATGCAAAGGACACTGGTGTCTGTAGTAGTGTGGTTCCGGCTGGTTTGAAGAATTGCTACACTGTGACCAGGAACTGACCAGAGGGCAACAAGTGGATATAAAACGATATAAACCTACAGTAATAATTTTGGGGTTGGATTAGCGTAAGTAGGTTTGCATTTAACCCTTAAAGGGAATAGATTCTCGAAACATGTCAAGACACCCCCCCACCTTACCCGGTAAATAGACGATTTACAGTGTTGGCCAAGCAGCTGCATATTCCATGGGCCAGGCTATACTGAAGTCCTTGGGCCAAGACTTTTAGCGCATGGACGTGGTGACATTCGACTGCTGGACTGCTGACAGAAAAGAACACTGGTACCACCTGGAACCACTATAATTGCCGTGGTCTTCAGCAAATCACAGCAGGATGGTTGTTTGTTTGTTTTTCAAAATTCCAATCCATGATATTGATAGGAGTGGCTGAGATTGGCTGGACGGGGGTTCGGACATGCTTTCTCGCTTTGTTACCCACTGTCGTCATCATATTCTTCTGAGCACACGACACGCTAAGTGCGCTCATTCTTTGTGCTTATTATTGTATCCCATGCGGCTCGAGTGACGGTATGTACTGCGTGTTGGAAAGATGCTTGAGGGTTGAGGTGGATGATGCTGCCATCTGAACTGTTGTGCAGGGTTGGTTTTTGGTAGGACGATTCCCTGAAACAAGTTGAAAAGTATCGGTTCTGAGTCTGAGCGATACTCCTCCTTGTCCTTGTGTGATTACATCTGCTTTTGGTCCGACAGGCACTGACCCAATATGCTTACGACTAGGAAGTCGGAAACAAGGGGCCTTTGACCACACACGAAGATACTCATGGGGCTCATGGGTCCATCCAAAATGCGTCCATGGGCACTGGTCGTCCATGGTCCATGCGACTGACCATGCGACTGACCAAGAGGAAAGTTTTACTAGTAGCGTCCTTGCTCCTAGTAGCGATGCCAGGAGCCCCTAGTAGCTTCCTTGCTCCTAGTAGTAAGGCCAGGAGCCCCCAATCTTAAAACTGCAGTTGGAGTGATTGTCTTTTGTTTGCCAGTCCTGGTGAAGGGTGGTTAGCAATCTTGGATTCCCAAAAGACCTGCAAAGCGTTACTCTAGAAATAAGCGCGTTCGACTCAGACAAAGCAGGATGGACCACTGAGGATTATAAGGTAAATTCTTCAAACCAATGCCTGTCCAACCACCCTTTTCAACTGAAACTGTACCTTCAAAGATCATGCGTAACTAGAGAAAGCCCGTCCTACCATGACCACCCACCACCCAACAGTCACCTCTTCCGTCGGGTCCAATGGGTCCGAATGGTACATTCGCACTAAGCTGGACGTTTGTTGTGGACCTTTGTCGGACGAATTGTGTCTAAGTCTTGTTCCTTCTCATCAATCTGATCTGTGACATTGTCCCAGCTTCGTACCGAATCATGAACGATCAATCATCCGTGTAGGCTCTGACCTTCACAAATGTCCTCTGGTCCCGCTTCGTTTAGGCACCGTCCAATTCACCAAGCCATCAAAGGGCAGGCCTCGAGAGTTCTTTGCGCATCGTTCATGTGGCCAGTTCTGGGTCTCCGGAACCAAACCAAACGAACTGGGTGACTGGTCGCCTCCTTCAACTTGGAAAACCCCAAAGGATGGAGCCAAGCATCGGTTGGTGGGAATCCCTACCTGCTTCTTGGGGATGTTCTTTCTTTCTGAGACTGCTGTACCAAACCGAAGTCTGTCCAATGGTCTCCACGAGCACTGAGGATACATAGTTGGTTGTGTCAATGTGAGTTACACATTTTGTGTCTCGGACTCGGAGTAGGTCACGACAGCTTCCGACATGTTCAAGCAAACTCTCCAAACTGGACTGGACTCAAAACCCCACAAAACTGGCTATAGCCTAACGACAGGGACTGTTGATGAGCTCTGACATACCAGCTTTGACAGTTGAAGGTGTGCACTAAGTTGAAGTGGGACAACAAAAATGCATGGTCCACATGTCTCTATCTATTGGAAACGGTGAAGCCGTTCGGTACTTCTATGGCTTCTGTGGGGATTGGTCTTCTAGGAGCTCTTGCCATACAGTCGGTCATAGAAAAATATATTCCCAAAGAGTCTTCTCAAATGCAGAAGGATTTTCTTGCAGGAATGGAGTGGACCTGCAGGGTAGAGTCTGCCTCGGAGTCATCTTAGATTTGAATCAGAACCCATGAACCCTATTGACAAGAAAGGGCCCATGTATGGAAGCACCGTAATTCGATCCGCAAAACCAGATCGTGATAGATACGCAGTACTTGTTTGACACTTTATGATCGTTTCATAAAGATCCAAGTTAAATGGGTCAAGACATCAAGTCGTATTACCTTTATTGACCTTTTCACCCCTGCTGTAAAGCTCATCCGCGCAAACTCAGCCCCTTCATTCGGTCCACATTCGCCATGAGACGGACATGATCCGACAGGATCACTGGGACACACCCAGCGAAGAGCGCTTCGAACACCCGCGACGTATAGGACGAGGCTCCTCTGGAGAGTCTGCGGAGAATCAAATCAGCCGTTGTGGTCAGTGAGAGTACTAAAAAGCAAAGGTGATTTGATGTGATTTGTATTTTACTGTATATTAATACCTAGACTAGACCTAGTTGCCTATCCCCTATGCACTTCTCTAATTCACCTGAGTCATGCAAACAAGCTAACAAGACTCAACCCCATGTCCTACCTGAACTATGCCTCCCCAAATCCACCTTGTAACGAGGGTCAGAGGGTAGTGGTGTTTGGTATGCTCATGTCCGGGCACTTCCAGCAGGAAAATACAAGAAATATGATGGCTTAGCCGCAGCCATGGCCAAACAGCCTGCGGATGCCTGCAGTCTGACCACCCGTCCTTTGGGGCACAAGCAGAACTTGGCATTGCCCATGATCCCCGCGTAGTCCGAGACCGGTGAGCCCAGTGACACATCCGACAAATGGCCTCCCCAGCGAGCTCGCTCGGTACCGAGCCCAGCGGGGCGAGAGGGGCGCCTCATCCTGTGACGTGGGTACCCATCGGTGTGGTCATCTGGGTGTGAAGTGCCCACCACGTGGTGCTTTGCCATGCAGTGAACATGCCTGGTGATCTGTGGCAGGGTGTCAGTGGCCAATTCGTGATGTTTTGCAACATTGATGCATGGAATTGCAAGCAACCACCCCAACCAATGAAGAATCTCAAAACTCGAAACTTGCTGGGTGTCGATGTTGCAGGGTCACCTCAAATTGACTTGATGGATTTGTTCACGGCAAGTGCTCCGACTGAGATCCACAACTGACTGCCACCTGACTTGTGCCTAGCAGGAATTGAAGGAAATTCTATCCTACACGGGTTTGGTGCAACCAACCACCTTCATATCCCCTTATTTGGACCTGTGCCTATTGTACAGACATAACCTCATGAATGTGAGTCCAAATAAGACATAACCACACCAAATGACCCACATATTGTTCGTCTAGCTGTTGCACCCGAGCATGAAAGGAACTCGGCCAAAAATGTGAAAATGTGTTCAAAACAACCTGGGGTCTTGGGTCTTTGAATGTTTTATTTTAAATGTTCACCTTATTCGTCATCCATTTTCACCCAAGTCTCCGTCCGGACCCGGCATCCAAGTCGCTGAGCTCTTGGATCAACGAGGTCCGCACCGTTTCCTCTGCGCCGAGTTTCTCCGGTGCCGCCGAGGGATGGGGAGACCGGCGACGTCCAGCGTCGGACAGTTGACATGATCTCCTCCCTGGTGTGAAGGCCCATGAGCAGCAAGATGAAGATCGGAGCCATGCTGGTGTCCGTATTGTTCAAAAATGAACATGCCCCACACATGGGTTCTACTGGTAGAACCAAACAAGAGATACAGTACGTCCTTTGAACGACGTCATTGCTTGGTTTCACGGATGCTCCAAACAATTCGGATGCCAAGGCCACAAAGATTCAACACTCTCACTCTCAACCAACACTTTCGCACAAAGCGATGCGTAGCGATGCGTTACGTGGACGTGTGTATCTTGTTCGTCATCACCATTGACACGTAATCCTCGCATGGCATCACATAGACGCTGATACGCCAAGTTCATGCAGTTTGACCTGGCTCATGACTCGCTGCATTGCTGTTCGTCCGTCCAAAGAAGAACCTAATCCAGGCACAGAGAGGGAAAACGAACGACTGTCCACTGGGTTACTAGATCCAGCCTCATTAAACATCGCAAGTAAGGAAGATGGGTGAAGTATCTCGTAACCCCAAAATAGTCTATCCTAGCATATATCCTAGCTGACTCCTGGACAGTGTAACATGTCATAGCTATTGTCCCCGAACCCCCGTTTGCCCATCATGAAGTGGAGTGGTCGATGGCGCCCCAAACCTGAACAATCCCTCTCCCACGATGGTGATCTGAAGGGCTTGACGAGCTGCAAACCGCCAGTTGAGGAGGTGTCAGCCACGTTGAAGGAACCTATCATTCTTTCTTTCCTCCTTGCAATGGTCTCTCACTGAGGCACAACTTGGTTGGTCCCCAATTCACACCCCAATTGGTTCCTGAACTTTGCAGTTGAAGGCCCAGCTTCGTTGGTGATCACGTAGGCTCGACGCACTTGTGGGTTTGTCGACTCGGCATGCTGCCCATGCCAAGCCCTTGGAATCCAAACATCGAACGCGAACGGCGAACGAGGCGGATTGGGGACAGGCAATTGAACAGGTTTCTTTGAAAGGACCCCAAATGTCAGGGGTTGCTAGAAACTGCCTCCATGATTAAAACTAACAGTCGAATTGTGATCAAACCTGTAAGAGTTTGGAAGCCTCGCAGGATGGGTGTCCAAACTGGGTTACAAGTTTATATATAAATGAAAAGCCGCATAATCTCCTCTTCGAGGAGTGATCATTTTGCAGGCTACGCCCCCAGGATGTGCTCTCTTGCTCAAACAACAACATGTGGTGCCAGGGATGAGAGCTTCAATTCTTGTCCCAATGATAGCGGCTAGCATTGCAAAAATAGGGAAGTTGCGATATTCTTCTCCAAGTGATGAATGGTTGGTATTTGACCGACCAAAATCCTAGCGCCCTGAAATAGATCACACCGGCAAAAGTGCAGACTGCAAGCACAAAAAAAACACCAATTGAACCCACAGCTTTTGGGTCTCCGGCCATCTCTCTTGCTATTGGCTGCACCGGCCTCTTTTCAACAACCCTAAACCCGAAACCCGAGAAACGAAACGTGAAATTCCGTGAAGCCTACACAACTGTCTGGGAAAATTAGCAGGCTCATCCCGTGCGGCTTACACCACTCAATGGGCTGGTGCAATGTGTTTTACACCGATTTTCAGCCGTGTCTCATCAGAAACTTCCGCTCCAGCATCGGCTTGGATTTGGCCAAAAGGCTACCTCAGACAGAAGCTTGCGGCTAAAGTTCCCACTGTTTCAAAGTTTTGGCATGTTTTGGCAGTGCACCACGTCCCCACAAAAACAGAGTCTTCCAGCACATCCATGTGTTGACATCTCTGTACATCTTTGTTGAGTGCTTGTCTCGTCCCGAAACATCAAACATCGTGGTTTCCTCTATCAAAAAGAGGTTCAAATCTGCAAGAGAATGAGCACCTCTACTTTTCACACTTGTACCAACGGATTCAACTGTTTGGAAGAAACACTTCTGAGACTGTTGCAGTTGCCATTGCGAGTAAGGTGCGTTCCGCTGGTAAGGGTGTGAGGGGCGGAACCACCAAATCTTTCCAGGGTTGAAAACAATCCTTGCAATGCCAGCCTCAGTCAGCAAATCAGGAGCAGAAGCTTGAACAATCTTCCTCAATTTCGAGACTCTAAAGGATCATCTGAAGTCCGTCCTCATATGTATTCGTTTTTGAAATCTTCTAGTAATTAGGGTACCTATACTCACTACTTCACTACTACGTGTCATATCCAAGGAATTGAGCATGTGCGAGCATCAAGAACCCAAGGTCCTGCTCCTGCAGAGTGGTAACTAGGAGCCAGTGGGATGATCGCACCAGCGATAAGGGAAGGGTCCACCGGTCCATGATGTACATAGACTAAAAGCAATGATCTTTCAGTGTTCTACTCTCATCTTCTTAGAATTCTGAGATCTAGTTTGCTTAGTTGTTGAAATTGGAAGCATCCCCTACCGAACCAGCGAATCTAACCCGTTTCGGTACCTCCAGTGTCTCCCACTCCAAGCTCTTCGGTGTCTCGGTTGCGGACCAGCACGCGCCTCGCCCTCTTTTTTGGGTCCGACTCACCGCCACATGGTCGCGCGATGAATGAAAACTGTCCGGGACTCAAAAGATAGCTGCTTGATGGTGTTTTTTTCCGTGCTTTTTCCTGACCGATCCGCTGGCATTCTCCCGCGGAGAATCAACGCACAGGAGTGGGAGTGGCATCGGTCTACCGCTTTGAGAGACGCGAAGCCAACACAGTGGCATTGATGATATATGACTTTGTTGTTGGGACAAACAATGCTTGTTGGGCAGAAAAAAACACATCACACCAAGTCCAAAGCAAGGAACCTGCCTGTTAAGCCACCTTGACCTCTTCGCTTGGTCTCACCGACCGCGCCTCGCTGGGTCTCAAAGGTTCCTCGGACAAAAGGCCGGTACATCTTGGTCGACCTGAAAGGACCTGGGAAAACCTCGTGGCGAGTGCCTCAGGTGTTCCTAAAGCTCGAAAATGGTGAGAAGTGGCAGAGTTGTGCTCAACTGGCCTCTTTCGGACTGTTTTGGACATCTCAACACTCCATCGTTTGGACACGAAAACATGAACAGGAGAGTTGACACTGGGAATGCGAACATTCATTCCTCCTTCTTCTTCTGTAGGGTGGGGCCCCTTGTCCAGTGGTCTGGTATACATGGACATTGGACAAACAAGAAAACACATATATATATATATATATAATTTATCTATGTTTTTCCAGAAAACTCGTTGGCAGCTCATCCTTAGGCATCCTTGACCCAAAGCAGCCCTCTATCAGTGCTCAGGCACTTGGCAAAGAAGTCGACCATCAGCCTCGGTAGTGCTAGCAAATGCAATGGCTTCTGGTGTGCGAAGATGCCATGTTGCTCAAGGTGAAGGTCAAAACTGCACATGCCAATTCAATAAGCTTGGGTTGGCTGAGAGCAGAAACGGAGCGAGGGCTGGATCATAAGACCCAACCAACGGACATGTACGTTCTTCCCTCAAGGACAGCACAAAGAGCATGTCTCCGTGTTCCAACAAATGCAAGACCGAGCTTCGCAACACCAGCATCTAAGGATGAATGAATTCATTGCTGAATTGAAGTAAGACACACAATGCCTTTGAACTCAGCCGCTCCCTTTCCACCTTCCAACAACAAACCCCGCAGACCAACCTCACACCCACCTTGCAGGCACTGACCTGCTAACAATCCCTCTCCACCAACAACGGCAACACCGCCCAAATCGACCGTAAAGCATTCCTAAAACCATCCCCATTGGATCCGGTTGGAACCACTTATCGTGGTTCCGGTGAGAAAACACTGCTCAGGATGCCGCCGTTGCGGAGACATCTCGAAGTCATTTACCCCAATAGCAATGGCATCCACCCTAGTAGCAATGGCCTTACTACTAGGAACAAGGAAGCTACTAGGGGCTCTTGGCCTTACTAGGAGCAAGGAAGCTACTAGTAGCAATGGCCTCCAACCTCCTCCGGGAGCTGTGAGAGGCCTCCAACAGGCCAAAGAGCTTCATCGCCAGCTCCACGTCTCGCTTCACCGCTGGAACGCTCAGGTCACCACGGCAACACCAGCCGTGCTCCATGTCCTTGGGGATCGACTGGAAGGATCTGCCCTTCGACAAGGCGTAAAGATGGGAAGATGTCCGGGGACATACCGGAATGACCTTGAGCAATCTTGTTGTGTCATTCTCTCAACTTCCATGCGTCTGACTGAGGGTATGTTTCCTACCACCCATAAAAGAGAACAGAGTGAACATCATCGCTCACTGGACATTCCATCACCATTTAACCTAGGCAGAGTGAACCAAGCCCAGAGGGATTCTGTTTCAAGGGCTGCCACTGATGGGCAGAGCGCATTCACCACTGATCTGCATGAAAGTCTTGTGTTTGAGTCATACCAGCGCTCAAAGCAAATACCGATTATCATGTACTAGTATGTACTAGAACATGTATAGTAACTTCCCATGAGCTACAAACCGAAGAAAACAAAACAAAAATAAACAATAGAACATCATAGAACATACCTAGTAACATACCTATATATATATATAGAGAGAGAGACATAGACTCCATATACAAATACAGTAGATCCGCTTGTTTGCGGATTTCCCTTGTTTACTCGCCATCTCCTTGCCCCGGCCATGCGTCAGGGAAGGTCACCGTCTGACCTCCCTTCTTGCAAATGGATGTGGCAATCGCGCCACCTCGTGGACAGGCTGAAGTCACGAAGCGTGGAACGCTCGACCCGTCACCGGCCGAAAGCGATGGCCGAAACCGCCCTCGGTCGCCGCCTCGTTTTGGAACGCGGAGTTCGGATCGTTTTGGAACGTGCGAAATGGATCGTATCGGAACGTGGCCGTTGTTATACACTGTGATTTGCCGTGCAATGACCCATTTTACGTGGTCCAAAATGATCCGGGTGCCCCGCCCTGGCCTTCCTTCAGGTTCTCTGGGTCATTCCCAGCAGGCATCAGCAGCACAGGCATGTTCACCTTGTCCATCATGGCTTGTTCATCTCTGCCTCAGACGGGGCCAAATCTCCCAAGTCCCCAAGTCATGCTGTTCCAGAATCCAAACATCTATGGAAATCCTACAAAAAAATACGAAGATCGTCAATATCCCATGGTTTAGCGTTTAGACGTTGTTTTCTCTGTATAACAAGTGGTACAGGGTGAACTGGTCCATCAACAGCCTGTTATGTCCCCCGACGACAAGTGTCCATTTTGTGCGGATCCAAAAAAATTGCCGAGAGGTCACAACCCGAGGATCCACAAACCTATTAAGCACCATGTTTCTTGTGGTAAATACTTGGATAACAAGACAGGGTGGCGTCACCTCGTTGCGCGGACCCAATCAGTCCAATGCCAATCGCCTTTCCACATCCACACATGTCACATGTCCGTGATCGCCTTCAGGTCACTTCCAAGTCTCTCACTCTGGAGTAGTCTCAGAATGTATATGGGATGTATAGGACCCGCAAAACAAGAGACCAAATAGAGAGACTCCAAAAATAATGACAAAAACACACCACTTGGGCCTCTCCCTCCGATGACTTGGAAGGTCCAAGACACCAAAGGCTCCCTCCAATCGGGTGGAAGGATGTGGCCCCACGCCGCACTTCAAAGGAATACCTGTTGATTGGCATGGCGAAAACAGCGCCCCTCTTTGACAATTGGTTTGTGCCAAAAACCATCCCACAAAGCACTCTTTGCTCTTGGGGCAGGCCAACCGTTGAAATTGTCATGAGCCCTGAGTTTGTATGTTTGGGGTATGTTTTGTGTTTGGTGATACTAAGGCAATAACATGTTCGAAGTGCATGCATGCGCATGCCATGTACTTCCGAATATGTTTCCAATATATTTTCAAGGCTGGTTTTCCATAAGTCGAACATCTCACCCTTTGCATTTCACTGGGCACATCAACACAATACAACCCAAATGTTCCATCACAAATACATGACAATCAACGCAAATACATCATGTACATGACAGCGTGGAAATTTTTGAACATTGGTATGGCTGAACCTAACCCCCGTTCCCACTCGAAGGTGTCTTGGCCGGGGTCGTGGACAAGGGTCCTGGACCTCGAGTTAAGACCACCGTGGTCCCCGAAACTGCCGCACCTTCAGAAGAAGCTTTGCAGCAAGCCCACACACCCCAGCAAAATCCTACGCAGCCAATGTCTTTGCAGCCAGCATCCTGCAAAGAACACATTTGCAGGGTGATGTGATTTGGTTCTGCAGCTGCAGATGCCATGTGGGTGCTCCAGCTTGGACAGCAAGAGAAATTCAAAAGAGTGTAGAAGTATGAAGGTATTTGGAACCTACAACCTCCAACACTTTGAGTGTTCCGAACTTGTGCTGAGATGCTTGCCACGCGCAAACGGCACAGCTCTGGACACAAGAATCTGTTAATTTTCGGTCGCTGGGCGCCGCAAGTGCACTTCATCTCACAGGCGCCAGAGCTCTACTGAGCAAAAGTGCACGGTTAGCTGAAAACAAGCACGCCTGAATATGCCTGAACTCGATGCAGCGACGTCTACGCTCACCTTCAAGACATCCAACAGTAAGTTGGAAAAGGCACCCCTTGGAACACTAAGCGCTTCAATATTAAACGACCTGCACTGCGCCAGCTAAAAGAATCTTGAGCTCGTCGTCCTATCCTCATCATCTCACACTGCGGCAAACATGCTTACTCAAATGTAATCTAGAGACCCTCACCTGTCGGGTAAAAAAAAATACTTCGAGTGATCCCCACCAAAAGGAAAGCATCGTTTGGTTCTCACTGATCCCTACTCCAAGAACCGTGGTCAAAATTTGGATGTCACCCACAAAGCATAGAGTCAAGAAAGACTGGAAACGTCTTGGATGCTTTAGTCTACATGAAGTCCATCCGAGTGTTTGTTGAACATCCACCACGTCGTGAATATCAAGACATTAAACTGCTGCTCCTGAGCCCTGGTGCTTTGAAGATCCCCACTAGAATGGTCTCGTCGGGGGCTTATGCCATCTACTCTGAAATCCAGGCTAGGAAAAGGGATGAACATGGTTGCTTTACTGTA